ACTCTATGTGATTAATTTCTGCTGTAGCACTAACATTATACCTGGCACACAGTGCTATTCAAAAGATGCTTGTTGAATGAGTGACTGGATTTCCAAAGTGCTTGTCCATTGCAGGGTCAAACCCAAGATATGGATCACTCCAGACAGACAGATTCATTTGATGAAGGATAAAGAGAATCTGTTTTCTTATTAGTTAAAAATTATGCAGACACAATTAACTTACTAATCCACTTGTTGGCTAAGGCAGAGTCAATGTAAAGGAAAATGGAAAGAAAAGCGTTTCCCAGTTTCCTGAAGTGCTTATATGCGCTCAGAAGTTGGTAAACCAGACTACATTTGAAGAGGTTTATAGAGGAGTTGCACAATTAGGTGGCATAAATTGCACTACATTATCCATTGTCAGAATTTTGACGACAACTGTCTGTACTTATTGCGAAAGTGACAGTGACTCATGCTGTGTGGGACCATTAATGTAATTTCCTTTTGAGGGTTCTGTCTACTTTGAAGAAAGCAGATGCGTGTATGTTTTTTCAATTGTGTCTGGAAACCTGAGTCAACTGGCACCATGGGTCTCTCTCTCTCTCTCTCTCTCTCTCTATTTCCAGGGATGCTTTTGCTTCTTTTAAAAACTGCCCACGTAAGTGCTTATCAGAATCCCCTATTTTTATTCCCTGGCCCATGAAGGCTTTTCTACTAAGCCCAGCACCCAGAGTCTTGTAGTTCTTGCTGGGTTTCTAGGGGAAGCCCTGGCAGGCCGTGTAAGCCAGACCACTGTTGACTTGGCTCAGGTGGTTGAGATCTTGCTCCTTGCTTTTGCCAAGCTATGAAGAGACCTTGTGCTACCTCGTGGACAGTAGGAACCCTGGTCCTCCTACAGAGCAAGACCCTACCTTCCTGCTCGCCTTGTGAAGGAAGAGGTCCGTGCATAAGGAGTAAGTTAGGCCCTTAAGAAGGATGAGATCAGAGAGAAAGGGAGACAGCGGTCAGTGAGACTTGAAAATAATTAACAATGTGCAATCTATCAGGGGGCCATGAGGTTGGGGGGGGGGGGGGGGCAAAAAGAGGAGCTGCCCAATAGATTAAAAAAAAAAAGAGGAACTGATCCCAAGGTCTCAATGGAAAGTAAATGTCTAGAAAAGAACAATGGAATATATGTATGAATATGTCAGATACAAATGATGTATGGTTTGTAACAAGAGTTGTAAGAGGCCCCAATAAAATGATTTTTTTAAAAAAGAAGGATGAGGTAACAAAGAACAAATAAAATGGGCTCTTGGTGTTTGTCTTCTCTCTCGGTCATGAGAGGGACATGATCTGGTCAAGCTGGGCACCTTTGGCCTTGAGAGGGCCGGAGAGGACCGCCGAGCTTCACAGTTCACTTCCTCACTACTTGAGGTGCTAGATGCAAGAAGCAGATTGAGAAATCTCAACCATTATTTATTTGTGCTTCACTTATTCATGAGCAATTTCGCAATTCCTAAGTGATCATTGTGTCAAGAAAGTAGGGGGTCCCCGATTTGCTGAAAGCCTACTCATTCCCCCTTTAAAGATATTATTGTAAGAAAATGGAATAAGCTTGGTGCACTGACTACGTTGTCATGCCTCTTAAATCTCTGACGAATAGGTGTGGTCTGTGCAGAAATGTCTCAGGTGTCTGACCTTAGGGAGTTTCAGATACCAAATGTGCATGGGGGAGGAAAGGCAGTGTCTTGTAGTAGTGATTTCAGTAAAATTCCAACTGTCTAGGTCCAGTTAAGTTGAGACATCTGTTCATGGTTTGGGAATTTCCTTCAGTTTCAATGCCCAGGGCCAGGAAATACTGGTAAACTTTTTTCCCAAGGTGTCTTTGGAGCAATCCTAAAATTACATGTTGGCTGTGTAAATATTACTTTGTGACCCTTGTATCCCCTACTTGATGTTCTTCGCCAATCTTATAGCAATGGAGGTAGGCAATTGCAGAAAGATCTCTATGAACTTCGGAGGCTTCAGTCTTTCTTGTGGTCATTTGTCACTGATTCCCTTCAGTCCCACCTTCCAGAGGGGAGGCTGGGGTGGACACAGGACATGCAGATACAGCATTTCCATGGTTGCTACAGGTACTTGAAGACTTTCTAGATAGACTGAGGAAGATGCCTGACTTTCAGGAAATAGGCAGCTACTTGCGAAAACCAGTGATAATCTCACACTGGCTGAGGTCATGGCAAAACAGGTGTTGAGCACCAACAATATCAACTATTACTGCTGTTGCACGGATATTTCTTTCAGACACCAAATGATTGATGATGTTTTCTGTCATGAGTATTAACTGACTTTATGCATTTATCTGTGAGGGAGTACTGCTGGAATACCAGTTTATGTGGTGTTTGGAACGCAGGGCGTACCAGAGTGCTGTTTATCTGTGTTTTAATTACCATGCAAATGTGTTCAGCAGTGGGAATCATAAAAAATTATGGGTAACATTTCAAAGAACAGGAATTCCAAAACATATAATTGTGCTCATGCAGAAACTGAGCATAGACCAAGAGGCAGTGTTCAAACAGAAAAAGGGGATATTGCATGGTTTAAAATAGCCATGTATACTGTCCCCATTAATTGTTCCATTTGTATGCTGAGTAACTACTCCGAGAAGTTAGACTATATGAAGAATAGTTGGCCAACAGGATTGGAGGAAAACTCATGAATAACTTGCAATCTGAATATTACACATAATTTTGCTTGCTGAAAGTAAAGAGGACTTGAAACACTTACTAATAAAGATTTTTGTAAAAAGCTACAGCCATCAGTATGGACTGCATGTCAACATAAAATAAAAATCCTCACAACTGGATCAACAAGCAATATCACGATAGAAAGAATATTAAAATTGCCAAAGAATTCGGTTTACTTGGATCTCCATTCAACACCCATGGAAGTAGCCAGTAAGAAATCAAATAATGTATTGCATTTGGCAAATTTGCAGAAGACCTCTAAAATCTTAAAATGCAAAAATGCCACTTTTATGACTAAGGTGGGCCTGGCCCAAGCCAAGGTCTTTTCAATCAGTTCATATGCATCTGAAAACTGGACAGTAAAAAAGAAAGACCAAATAACAATTTGAATGATGGCATTGGAGAAGAATATTAAATATACTATGTACTTCCAGAAAAGTGAAACTTCAATTAAGTCGATTCTGACTCATTTTGAATGTAAAGGACAAGGTAGAACTACCCCTGTGGGTTTCATTAATCTATATGGGAATAGAAAGCCTCATCTTTCTCCCTCTGAGTGGTGGGTGGTCTCGAACTGCTGACCTTGTGGCCCAAGACATTGTGAAAAAATCCGTGTTGGAAGAAGTATAGACAGAATACCTTAGAAGCAAGGTTGATGAGAATTTGTCTCCCTTACTTAGGGCAGTGTTATCAGAAAGGACTAGTCCCTGGATAAGGGCATCATGCTTGGTAAAGCAGAGGGTCACTGAAAAAGAGGAAGACCCTCAACGAGATGGATTGATGTGGTGGTTACAACAATAGGCTCAAATATACAGAGGATAGCAAGGAACTGACTCAGTCACATCCCATAGCAACAACAGCATCAGTTGTAAAGATTAGGAAACCAAAACACTCAGGTACCTGAAGTCATAAACTTGGCAACTTAGAACTGGGTTCACAATCCCTGGTTTCTCCTTCTATTTCACAAGATCATGTTATGGCACCGGAGTTTCCACTCGGGCAATCAAAGCAGAGTGGTTATGAAAGCAAGGAGCCCTGGTTATGTGCTTGACTGTTAACTGCAATGTTAGTGGTTTGAACCCACCACCTGCTCACCAGTCTGGTTTCATAAAGGTTTACCGTCCCAGAAACTGCACGAGGTACTTCAACTCTGTCTCATATTGCTGTTATGAATTAGAATCAGCTCGATGGCAGTGTGTTTTTGATTTTAGTAAACCAGATCTAGAAAACTGCTTGAGCTTAAAAATCAGAGGCTTCCTGAAGGAGAAAGAACTTGGATAGGGCCTTGAGGAATGGATTACATGTGGAAGACAGAGGTGAATTATTATAGATTGAATTGTCCCTTCCAAAAAATGCCCGTGGTTAAGGAGCCCTGGTAGCATAGTGGGCTACAGTTGGGCTGCTGACCACAAGGTCATCAGTCCAAATCCATCAGCTGCTCCTCAGGGGAATGATGAGGCTGTCTACTCTGGTTAAGATTTAAAGCCCCAGAAACCCTATGAGGTAGTTCTCCTGTGTCCTATACAGTCAATGGCAGTGGATTTTGGCTGAGGTATATCCTGTGTGGATTTAATCCCATTTGGAATGCGTTTTCTGCTCCATTAGTGAGGCAGGATTACTGTGGGTGTGTTTTGGGATGGTCTCTTACAAGAGAACAAAGGAGCTGATTAGACTAGCCGAGATTGGGTGGGGGGGGTTAATATGGTCAGACTCATGAGCATTGTCCAGCAGCACACACTCAGAAAAGATAAGGAACCTTCTACAGAGTGAAGAAAGAAGTTTCTCCTCTAGCGCTAGCACACAGTGATGTTGAGTCTAGCCTCCTACGCTGTGAGAGAGTAAATGTCTGTTGGTTAAGCCGTCCACTGGGGTGTTTCTGTCACAGCAGCACTGGATAACTAGGACCGAGGCGTGCGTCTAGTGAGGGCCTGGGCTCCACGAAGAACCCCAGGCTCGAATGCACGTCGTATGCAGGCGATTGAAGTCTTCTCAGCTGACGCAGTACAAAGTGCAGTTGCCCCCTTTGATGAAACAAATGCATAATTGTCACTGTCTCTCCCTCGGCAAGAATGGCTAGTGAAGCAGACTAAAGGTGCCTTGATTTCCTTCAGAGGGGTTTCATAGCATCAGCTACCATGCCATTCCTCTGGTTTCAGGAACTAGCCCGTTTTGTGATGAGGTTAAGAAAACATCAACGAGCCATCACTAGCTACAGTGCATGGCATTTCTGGTGGCTGTCCTTGATCTTGCATCACTGGGTCACCTTAAAATCTTCCTGTATTTCTGGGACAGGTTTGTGACTCATACCCGACTGAACTGTATGTTCCTAAATCGGCCACGGCACACATCATCGTGGGGAGTTCCAAATTCCGGAGCAGACGGCGATTTCCTGCCCTTTCTTACTACTACAAAGATAACCACGTAAGTCTCAAAGCATGCTTTTGTTTCGTGCTATGCTATGCTTTGCTTGTTTTATCACAGGCAGGCATTTTCCAGCTGCCTTCGGTGTGTATGGAAACACGTTCCGTTGACTTCTTTCTAAAGGCATGTGGACATTGTGGGTATGGCATGACAAAGCACCGCCCCGCTTAACTCCTTTTCCCATGTAGATGCTGACTTACCACGCTGGACTATGCAGTCATCGGTTCGTTTTTTAAATACCTAAATTTTATCATCCAAGTGATCCCATTCTCTTCTCAGCAGTCACCTGAGAGGCGCTATGCTTATTCAAACAACTCCGCTGACCCCGAGGTCTTCTGAATTGTCTGTTTGAGAGCCTCTCCTCGAGTCCACGGATCAGTCTTTTGTAAATGGCACATGCTTTGGAGTAGTCTCAGCATAAGAAACCTTTGTTTATGGAGAATGGCTTTCCCTTTTAAATGTTGTTTGTAAAAGGTAGACTTAAGTTTGTCAGCAACTACTAGAGCACTTAGCGGACTGTGGCTTAAACCACATAGAACTTTCTCTCACGCAGAAGACCAAGTAAAGGTGAGTCATCCAAGCCTGGTACGCTGGCTTGGCTTCATTCAGCCTGTAGGGATCCAAGCTCATGCTCCCTCTCTGCTCTGTTATTGCTAGAGTTTGTCATCATTTGTGTGGTGCAAGAGGCAACCTAAGCACGGTATCATCTCTATACTCCTAGCAGATGAAAACCAACCCAAACCCACTGCCGTCAAGTAGATTTCATGCAGAGTGACCCTAGAGAACAGGGTGGAAATGCCGCTCTCTAGAGTTTCCCTGGAAAAAAAGATGATGCTTGGTAAAGTAGAGGGTCATCAAAAAAGTAGGAGACCCTCAACAAGATGGATTGACGTAGTAGCCACAACAATGGGGCTCAAACATAATCATAAACACAATGGTTTGTGATTACAGTTAGCCATGTAAACAAGGTCCCATTTCTGTGGAAGAAAAGAAAACATCTTTAGGAAGACAAAGGATGGCCTTTGGCGCCTGCATTAGAAGTTATGTGGTTCTAGCCAGATGAAGACTTTGGTTTTCAAAGCAGGCGATACAGTTTTGAATTCCAAGTTAAGTGAGGCTATGAACAATTCAGACTGTGTGTGTGTGTGTGTGTGTGTGTATATTTATGTACCTACAGGTAGCAGGTAGAGCACTGTCTGAACCAAATTCTAGGAGAAGGCCCCTAAACGATTTTGAACAATGCCAATTTCACTAGAATCAGTGTATAGCCTTCAGTTTTGCCCACCTTGAAGGAGAATATTCACTTAGCGATATAAGTTCTTTAATTGAAAGGATATGTTGTCTTGTCTTTAATTATACTCACTGGTCTGAGTCTCTTCTTTAAATGAGGTCTAAAGAAGATAGGTATCTTAGTGATGTATTATATTATTCAACTTATATTTAATATATTTTTGAAATATATTGAAAAATATATTTCAAGCTATACAGAATTGGAGTAAGGCTATAGGAAGAGCAAGATGTGAATTTTCTTTGTTTTTTAAAAATTTTACAATGAAAGGAATAAACCAGTAAACCCACTGTCATCAATTGATTCTAATAACTCTAAATATAGGGTTTCTGAGACTGTACGTCTTTAGAGAAGAGATAGCCTCATCTTGCTCCTGAAGAATGGCTGGTGAGTTTGAACCAGTGACCTTCCTAGCAGCCCAGCGCCTAGTTCACAGTTCTAGGGTCACTATGTGTTGGAATCGGTTCAACAGTGGGATGAATGGATTAGGGATCCAGAATTTCACAATTACGTACATGAAATTGAGAATGTCAGTGAATCTCTGCTCTTTGCAGCATAGAGTTGATAGAGAAATGTGATAGTTAGGTTTATTGTGCCAACCTGGCCAATAGGAACATGTAGGATTAATAAGGTCACAGTTTAATTGGAGGGCAAAGAGATAAATGGCTCTGCAAGGCCCATCCCCCTCCCTCTTGCTCTCTGGTGATTGGAGTGTGCTGGAGTATGCTGTTGCTTTAGCTAGTTCTCCGTCTCAACCTGTGAGCTACACTACCTGTGGGCCAAGCCAGCTTATGGATCATGTACTAGAGCTTGAGGTTGGTGGATCCTGTTTCCTTGCACTGCTTATATTCGATAGCCCATCCCTGTGGTGAGCTACTGGCTATTGGTAACCCACCCTGCTGTTAGCTGCCTGTGGGCAAATTCTGCTTTCCTTGCCCGAGGGAGGACTCCGCTGTCTACTTCCTTGATCTTGAACCCAGCAGCCCACCTGAGTTGAAGGACTTCTAGTATATTAACTATTCCACTGAAGTGAGTCGAACCGAACCATCTGTACTGCTGTGTGGACTAATTAGCTGTTATATACCTTCTCACTATATAAACCTACACACACACATACATAACTACATATATATATATAAAACTACACATATATAACTATATATACACACACACACACACACATATATATACATATATATATAAATGCAGCAAGGAAGCAGATGGGCTTTGGGCCTCTACTTAAGTCTTACCTCAGTACAAATAATATGGCATTCCCACCTTCCTGACACAATTGCTGAAGACAAATGGGCACATAAGCAAATGTGGTGAAGAAAGCTGATGGTGCTTGGCTATCAAAAGTTATAGCGTCTGAGGTCTGAAAAGCTTGTAGTTAAACAAGCTGCCGAATTTCAGGGAAGCAACAAAACCCACATGGAAGCAGCTCACCAGCCTGTGTGATCAAAAGGTGTCCACAGGAAGAAGTATCAGACGTTCAAAAAACATGCAACCAAATCGTTATGATGGAGAGTAGATGTAGTGGAGACCCAAAGCCCACCAGCAAGACAATTGGACAGTCCCTCTCAGGGAGGCCACACAGAATGGAGGATAAATTCAGAGTATGGTATGGCACTGATGAACCATATAATTATCCTTTCGTTCTTTAAGGTTTTCTCCCCTTACAATTAAGGTCTTTATGTAATATATCTCATAAATCATGTTAGATTTGGGTATGTTCATTTGTACATTTAAGATTGCTTGGTACCTGGTAGTCAAGATGGATGACCCCTCAGAGACAGTATGGGTTATGGGATGTGACGGGGGGAAGAGGAGAGTTGATTGCAGTGATGATTATATAACCCGACCCCCACCGGATGGGATTGAACAACAGAACTATATGGGAAGGAAAGGGATATATTGCAATGAATAAGATATGTCAGTAAAATGT